TTTAGGATGTCATCATCCACATCTGAAGCAGACTCATAGTCTCATAGAGTGGGAGGGAAATAAAACCTGAGATCTCTGGAAGAATGTACTATAATTTAAATTCACTTTTTTGAGTTGTTGTGTGTATATGTCCACATACACACACACTTGATCACTTGTTCACTTGATCCCCCGTTATTCATCGATTTACTTGAGCGGGTGCCAGTAACGTCTCCATTCATCCCTGTTGCATGCTAGCGTATCCCAATGGCATCTGTTCGTTCTAGGAACATGCAGAGCCTCAAACCAATCATTCAGGGTCTTGTCAAAGAAGTCTGACCATCTGGTAGGTGGGCATCCACACAATCTTTTGATGTCCTGTGGAACCTAGTCAGTAATGGCTCTAGTCCAGTGGTTGTCTCCCTGATTCTTGAGTGTTGACAGAGATTCTATCTCTCATTTGAGTGAAGCGTGATATTCCAAGCATAGCTCTTTTGATTCATCTTTGAGAGACCCGAATAGTGTTCTCATCCTATACACATCCTACACACATACACAAACTACAAAAATTTTTTGAGCTTTTTTCCCTGAAGCAAATATGTATTTATAAATTCACAGTAATTGTCTTTGAACAAGAATAAAAAAATTTAAATAACTTCAATGTAAGTTCAAAAGAGTCACAAAACTCTACATTGTCTGGAATTTTGACAAGTTCACAATTTTTTAAAATTAATTTTAAAATGCAATTATAAAATCAGTTAAAAAGAGTAGTTTTTCCCCACTGAGGATGATGCTTGCCAGAGGCTTCTGGTAGATGGCTTTAACTAAATTGAGGAAAGTCCCTTCTATCCCCATTTTTGGCAAGGGTTTTCATCATAAATGGGTGCTGGATCTTGTCAAATGCTTTCTCTGCATCTACTGATATGATCATATTGTTTTTATATTTTCTTTTGTTGATACAATGGACTATGTTGATTGATTTCTGAATGTTAAACCATCCTTGCATCCCCAAGATGAATCCCACTTGGTCATGGTGTATGATCTTTTTGATGAGTTGCTAAATTCTATTTACTAGTATTTTGTTGAGAATCTTTGCTTGCATGTTCATCAGGCATATGGGCCTGTAGTTTTATTTTCTTGTGCTGTCTTTTTTTCCTTTTGGTATTAGTGAGATATAAGATTCAAACTTTTGGTATTAGAGATATATGAACGTCACAGAAACTGTTTGGGAGAGTTTTTGTTTCTTCAATTTCCTGGGAAAGCTTAAAAAGAACTGGTAATAGATCCTCTTTAAATGTTTGGAAAAATTCGCTAGTAAATCCATCTGGACCTGGGCTTTTGTTTTGGGGAAGACTTTTGATTACAGTTTCAATTTCCTTGATGTTAATAGAACTATTCAGGTATTCTAGATATTCTTGATTCCGCCTTGGGCGATTATAGGAATCCAGGAGTTTATCCATTTCTTCTAGGTTCTCTTGTTTTGTGGCATACAGAAGCAGTCTCTGATGATCTTTTGAATTTCTTTGGTTTCTGTTGTGATATCCCCCTTCTCATTTCTGATTTGGTTTATTAGGGTTCTCTCTCTCTTTCTTTGTGAGTCTTGCTAGTGCTTTATCTATTTTGTTTATTTTCTCAAAGAGCCAGCTCTTGGTTTCATTGATATTTAGGATTGTTTTTTTGGGTTTCCATGTTGCTGATTTCTGCTCTAAGTTTTTTTTATCTCTTTCCTTCTGCCTGGTTTGGGCTCCTTTTATTGGTCCTTTTCAAAGATCTTGATCTGTGAAGTCAAGTTGTTTTATGTGGGCCCTTTCTTCCATCCTGAGAAATCTTGCAGAGCTATAAATTTTCCCCTTAACACGGCTTTAGCTGCGTCCCATAGGTTCTAGTAGCTCGTGTCTTCATTCTCATTTGTTTTCAGGTATCTTTTGATTTCTTCCTTGATTTCTTTCCTGACCCACTCGTTGTTCAACATTGAGTTGTTTAATTTCCAGATGTTTGATTTGGTTCAGTGCTTTGTGGTCTGAGAAGTTATTTGATACAATGTCTGTCTTCCTGATTCTTTTGAGGTATGCTTTGTGGCCCATCACATGCTCTATTCTGGAAAATGTTCTTTGTGCACTGGAAAGGAATGTGTATTCTTTTATTTAGGGAGGGGGGGTTGGGGGGGCGGATAAAGTCCTCTATAGATCTATTGTCTTATTATCTAGTTCTTACTTGGAGAACCTGGCAGGCTACCAAAAGTATCCTGCCCACATGGCAGAGTCTCGCAAACTCCCCATGGCATACTCAATATGCCAGAAACCAGTAATAATGATGACTCTCATTCTCCTGACCCTGAGAGAACCTCGAATGTGGCACTTTCTAAAATCCTAGGGCTAGGACGAAGGAGACGTTACTGGTGCCTGCTCAAAGAAATTGATGAACCACAGGATGACAGTGATACAGTGATAGATCTATTAGCCCTCTGTCTTCTAATTCGTCCTTCAGAGTCATTATTTCCTTGCTGAGTTTTAATATTCTTGATCTATCCAGGGGTGATAAGGCAGTGTTGAAGTCTCCAACTACTATTGTGTTGCTTGGTGTGTCCTTCTTAAGGTCTCTTAGCAGTTGTTGTAGGTATTTGGCTGGCCCCTCATTGGGTGCGTACACATTTAGGAGTGTGAATTCTTCCTGCTGTACATTTTCCTTGGTTAATAAAAAATGACCTTCACTGTTCCTTCTAATCTTTTTCAACCTTAAATCTATATTGTCTGATACTAGTAAGGCCACTTCAGCTTTTCTGAGGGGGTTGTTTGCTTGCAGGTTTATTTTCTACCCTTTGACTTTAAGTCTTTGTTTGTTGTGATTGTTCAGATGTGTTTCTTTTAGATAGTAGAATGTTGGATTCTGTCTCTGAATCCATCTTGCCACTTTGTGTCTCTTAATTAGTGAATTTAGACCATTGCTATTGAGAGAGATTATTGTTATGGGGTTTTGTGTCATCTTTTTGTAAGGGTCTTTTGTGTTTGTAGGGATTTGTCTAGTCTTACAGTAGCCCCTTTAGGCCTTCTTTTAGGTTTGGTTTTGAGTATATGAAGTTCCCGAGCTGTTGTTTATCCAGAAAATAGTGTACCCTTCCTTTGACTTTGAGTGAGAGTTTAGCCGGATAAAGCATTCTTAGTGAAGTGTTCATTTCAGTGAGTTTTTTCACTATATTCCACCATTGCCTTAGGGCTTGTAGGGTTGACTCTGATAGGTCTGCTGTGAATCTAAGAGGTGATCCTTTGTATGTGATTTCCTTCTTTGACCTTGCTGCTTGCAGCATTGTGTCTCTATTGATGGCATCCATCATTCTAACTATGATATGTCTCGGGGTGTTTTTTTCAGGATCTCTTAGCAGAACCATTCGGGCTCCTTGAATCTGGATGTCTGCACTGTCCAGCTCTGGAAACTTTTCAGCAATGATTTGTTTAACCGTGGCTTTTTCACTGGGACTGTTTCCCTGACCTTCTGGTACTATAATGATTCTAATGTTGTTCCTCTTGGAATCATCCCCTAGGACTCTGATTCATTCTAGAGCTATTTTGAGGTCTCTTGCCATTGTTTGTTGTTGCCTGTAGGCTTTTTGCAGCTAATCTTCCTGCTCACTGATTCTGTCTTCAGCTGTAGCCATTCTACTGTTGAGGGCACAGACTGAGTTTTTTATTTTATCTACCGAATCTTTTATTCGTGACATTTCTGTGCATAGCTTTCCCATTTCTGCTCTCATTTCTTCCTGTATTTTCTCACTTGTTTCTTTCATGTCCTCCTTTAATTTACTGGATATCTGTCTCAATGTTTCACTGAGTTCATTGAACATCTTCATTACTTCATATCTGAATTCTTTCTCAGAGAGCTCCCTTAAGTGAGTAACATCTAATGAGGATTCTGGACTCTTTTTATCATCCTCTCCTCATGGTGGAGATTTGCATTGTTTCTTCATGTTGGTCTGGTGGTATGGAAACTGGGAGGGGAAAGAAGATGGGGCATGGCACTGGGGATGAACCGGAAGAGGTTCAGGGATGGTGGGTGACCCAGGGTCCCAAAGGACGTTTGGGGCACATGCGCAGGGAAAGCAGAATCCCAGATTCAAATATGGACTGACCTAGGAGGGGAAGAAAACTGGGCACGGCATTGGGAACGAACAGGAAGAGGCTCAGGGATGGTGGGCGTCCCAGGGTCCTAAGATCTCTCTTTAAAGATATCCTTATTAATAGATATTCAGTTTAAGAAAAAGTAGAATAACTTCAGCATCTAGCGTATTTTTTAGTTTAAGATCACACTGACTCATAAGGAAGCATATGATTAGGAAATAATGGCCATAATAACCTACCAAAGTGAACCATCAGTATTATTACCCCCAAGTTGCACTGTCCAATATAACAGTCATTAGTCAAGTGGAGCTACTTAAATTTAAACATAAATTAATTAAAAATAAAATTAGAAAATTAATTCTTCGGTTGGACTAGCCACACTGCAACAGCTTAATATAACTTGCCATTAGCAGTGGGTATCCTATTGAATAGTGTAGACAACATTCTGGAAAGTTAGTTGGACAACAGTGCTCTAGAAATAAGCAAATTTTTAGATAAGAACCATAATTTTTTGGGGGGGAGGGGTTATATTTTGGCAAGAGAGAGGAAGGGGGAAAGTAAATTGAAAAAACTTTAAATAATGTCTAAAGCTTTACTGTAAGCCATTCAGTGTATGACTCACTCCCACCTAACACATCGCAAGTCACATCAGCATTTTGCTCTTTGCACTTTTCATAATTGCTGAACATGACTTGTCCCTTCATAGACAGATGCCTCTGAATAGGATTCACCCATGCTCTGCAAAAAGCACTTGCTCCCCTCACTCCTTTGGGTTAAAATATTAACCCAAAATATTAAATTGGGTACAAAGGAGAAGCTCAATAAATGTCAAATAACAAAGTTTATCTGAAGTCCTCTGCCATCGTAAGTTACTTAGTACTAATATCACAATAAATGTTAGCAGCTTACCCTTTGATGTCATTGACTAACTTGTTTTTTTCCTGCTCTAATCGTTTGTGGTGCATTCGATGAAAATCACGTTCCTTCTGAGTTTTCAGCAGTTCTGTTCTGGCCTTGCTGGATAATAAAATATCAACAAAAATCACTGATAGTATTTTCAATTTAACTTGTATTGCAACAATAATAGCTTATAGATTCTTAATTTAATTAGCATTGTGCTAACAATAATTTATGATTTTGTTTAAATGTTCAACAGTTTATAGATTTTTTTAGAATGTAAATGTTTACACATATAAGGGTATAACTTTACTACATCACACTACCACAAAAGTGCCAATATTCCCCCATCATAATTCATTGCTCTCTCAAAAGTTACTTAGCCATCTTTTCAAATCCAATATTGAAATAGGGGAAAAATTAATTAAAAAACAAATATTCCATTGAAAATTGCATGAATGGATATCAAACAAATAACTATATATTACAATAGGAGAAAAATGCAGTAAAATAAACTTCACATTTCATTTAAGTGAGGAAATGTAAAGTAGTGATACAAAATATACATAGCTTATCTATCTCTAAACAATTTTTATAAAACTATAAACAAAACAGCACAACTAAAAATAATTACAAATAAATTCCTTAATATACGGCTAATACAATGTATTACTTAGTTATAAAATTAAGAAACAAAGTTCAAGTTCTGGAATAACACTCATTCTGGTAATACCTATGAAATTTTAAATTTTAGACCATATTACTATAGTACTTGGCAATTTGATGGAAAAGGTCTTTGATGTCAATACTAAAATTCAAAAGTACTATCTGTATTTTCTGAAAATCCTTACATAAAGAGTATTTTTAGAAAAAAGTTCACGTGAAAAATGAAAATGTTTCCCCACCTCCATAATACAAGTTAGTTTCAATACGGTAATGTTAAACATAATTTATAATAAGAATGTAGTAATCAAACAGTCTTGGTTAACTGATAAAGTGCTACTACAAAAGACCTCACATTCTGAAAGATGGATGGACTCAATTAGAGTGCTGACACTTCAGAAGTAGAAAGAATAGAGTAAATCTACATTCTCGGTGATACAGAATTTAAATTTACATAGAATAAGTGCTCATGGACAGATTTATGCTTTAGGAACTATGTCAGAAAAAAAGCCGCTGAGGAACAGTGACTGGTATGCTCCCAAATGTGAGAAGAAGTAAGGGTTTCAGGTTCTTGATGGAACATTTGATCCCTAGGAATTCTTGCTGCAAGATTAGTTCACAGGTCAGAGTGCAGCTATACTGCAGCAGAGAAGGCACTTGCCTCACAAGTGGCTAACCCAGGTTCATTCCCTGACACTCCGTGAGATTCCCCATGTACAGCCACGAATGATCCCTGAGCGCAGATCCAGGAGTAAACTGTTGGATGTGGCCCAAACACCATAAAAGGGGCATGGGGAAATAAAGGCTGAGTAATATCTAACATTATAGTGAAAGTATCTTGATCATTTTCCCGTGTTTCTTTCCATCTTCCCCACCCCTTGATTTTTTATTAGGTAACCCAAAATAATTTTCTTTTACTGTCAATGGTGTAGTTTTTATTATATGTGAACAATGTGACACAGTACTCATGGTCTACTCCATCTTCTAGCCCTCAACTTTATTAAAATAACTAGTCCTGAATATTGATCTGTGGCATGTGATTATTATAGTAAAGCAATTATTATTTTCCAGGTTTTAAATTTCTATATGCATGTAAGTGAAGGTGCATCTAAAAGGAGAAAACCTCTTGGCTACCACAATGATTTGACTAAGAGCAGTAAATGAATAAGAGAAAAAAAGTAGAGTGGTTGGAAATTACTAGTGGCTGAGTTGTCATTTTGTGTGAATGACAGAAAACCAAATGTTTTCTAATTCACTTAGAATTATAAACTAGTTTACATAACAATCGTGTGCATATATACTTGTATGCTACTATAAACATTATCTGCATATACTTATTCTAATTTAATGCAGCCTACTGATAGATTAAATAATTTATTTATCTGACAGCAGGTAGTTAAATATCTCCAATAGACCAAAATATATCAGGATTAATAATTATTAATAATACATATCTTTAGAAAATAATGTGGATATTTTTTCCTTCCCTTTGTGGTTATTACTACGATTTGCCAGGGGGTCACATAACTTAGTTGCAGAACTCTTACAATTGGTTGTGTTATGTCAGGATCATATTAACTTGTCATGGAAGCTCATAAACTTGCTTGTGGTGCATGGGAGGTGTTGGGCGTAGGGTGGTGTGGGAGGGGTACACACAGTTGTAGTACCAGTTATGACAGCAGCAAAGCTGGGATTACAACCATAAATGAGGGTAGTTCTTGGCATCAAACTCATGGTGTGATGCATACAAGGCTGATGGTCTACACTGTGTCACATTCATTAACATCTATTTTAAGTTTTCTAAAGAACTTAATGAATTATGCATATGGCTTATGTTTTATCTTATCTGGTCTTTAGTAATAAGTTAAAATACTTATAAAAAAAACAATGCTGCAAAATTTCTTAAGCAGAACCCCAAATGTGCAGCATTGCATCAACTTACTTTTAAAGTACACAGTTCAGGTCCATTTGTACTCATCCCAAGAAAGCAAGCATAGGAATTGACTGAAGTATTAGACCTTAAAGTTTTCTGACCATTAAATTGGTTTTCAGGGACTTGCTTTCTGTTTGCACAAATGAAGTCTACTCAGTAAAACAATTTAAATTCATTTCATGGTGATGCTTCTCCTATTATGACCTTACTGGCATATGTACTAAATAAAAAGTAAAGGCTGCACTAAGCCTAAACCATAAAATATTCAATAAGAAGGTAATATTTTTTAATTCTACGGCATTTTCTCATTATACTAATATTACAAATTTATGTTAAAAAATTTACAGACACCAAAGTAGATATCAATTTTCAATTACAAGGATTTATTCAGTGAAGACTTTAATTTAGACTTGTATATCATAAAAAACACGTTAAATACAGTCTTCCCTTATTTATTATGGAGGCAAGTGTTGGGGCCACACCTGGCTGTGCTCAGCACTTTCTCCTGGATCTGTGCTCAGGGATCACTCCTGAAGGTACTCAGAGGACCATGTGGGGTACCAGAAATCTAACACGGGTGGGCGACATGCAAGCAAGTGTCTTAATCTCTCTACTACCTCACCACTGCATTTTTATTCTTTAGGAAAGAGTACACTGTTCTATTTCACTAATCTATAATATCAACGTATAAAATATTAAGACACTCATTTCTAACATTATAAGAGTATTATTACAAAAATGCAATCTTTCAACATATGAATACATTTCTAGCATGTGCGTCTGTATTCAGGACTTATTCCTGGTTCTGTGCTCAGGGATCAATTCCTGTAGGTGCTCAGAAGGCCATATACAGTGACAAACATGAAACCAGGGTCAGCAGCATGCAAAGTAAATGCCTAAAAATCTTTACTATAATTCTATAGTTATAGAGTTTTAACTATATATTTTTAAAAATAATTTTATAATGGATCCATTGGGGATATTTTGTTAATATTTAACAAAAAGGAAGCACATAAGCATTTTTTCATTTACCTGCACCAAAGTAGGCCATCTCTGTCACGCATCTTCTTTATGTGCAAACTTGGACTAAAGTAACTTCTAATTAAACTGAAACATAATTGCTAAAATTACTATATCTTCCATTTATATAAATGAATTACTTTAGACCACTAAAATTAATATTAGTATAAGTGTTAGACTGTCAAAATAGAATTCAGTCAGATTAAAGGAAAGCTTTCATTATAATCTAAGCCGAAAAAGAGTAGGGTACACACATGTGTAGTGGGGAAAAAAATGCCTTCTTAATTTAACAAGCAATTACCTAAACACCAAAGCATGAAATTTTATGGGCCTCATTATTATCTTTATTTCCATAGTGTTTCTTTCTAAAAGTCATTAAATTAAATAGGTCTTTTGAAAAGCTGGGTACTCTTTGACCTATTATAGAAGTGAATTTTGTAAATGAAATTGGGGCCGCTTAGTAAAGTACCTAAGTTTGCCTCCGTATTAAATTGTGAAGCAATTCAGTTTTCTTTTTGATTATATTTTCTTGAACAAGTTAAAATAAAGTATATCATCATTAAAAATACTTTCTAATCAATAATCCTAGCAGTATCATTTTTGTCATATCTTCAGGATCCTCAACAAACTTTTCTGGTCTGCATTATACTTCCATAATGTAAAAATTAAGAAACAGAAGATAGCACTCTAAATGGGACAAAACTTAGCTAGGGAGTTATTTAAATTCGCACCACTAGAGGAAAATGATACATACTCTGAATGTACAGCCATGAAACAGGCAAAAAATCATTAATTAACCAATGTGAAAAATAGTAGAAGCTTAACTAAAGAGTCAAGTGTGATTAGCGCATATTCACTTAAGCCTCCCTATCGGCTATGTACAACTGTATCCTCTAGATCACAAAGCATGCTGACCACAATACAATCCTTATTAAATGAAGTTTATGACATAGCAATATAGCAAAAATATATGCATTGGAGGTCAGAAAGAAAGTACAGGAGCTAAGGGCCATACCTTGCATGCAACTGACCTCAGTTCAATCCCAAGCAACACGTGGCTTCCTGAGCATTGCTGAGTGCAGTGTTGCAGAGCCTTGGTGCATCAGGATGGGAGAGGGGGCAGGTTAAATCCCCATGCTCTCTGGCTGAGCAGCACTGCATTCTCAGGCCACAAACATCAACTACTGGCCAGACTGGCTAAGAATTACCAGGAGGGGGCCGTTCTGTTTCCTGAGCATTCAAAAATGCTATGTGTTTATACATAAAATGATTATATGTAAAAGGCTACATTTCCGTAAACTGCATAAATATATGGTGTCAAAGACATCCTAAATAAATTACTAAACTGATATCAAGACAAAAATTTATAAATACATCAATCATTCCCCACTAAAATACACACTTTCTCTTTCTCGTTCCTAATTGTTATTGATTTAACACAATAAACATCTCATCATTTCTTTTAAAATTGGTAAAAGGTAAGGTAAAGGTAAAGGCCCTCCCG